TTGATCAACTTCACCGTCCTCAGCCTAAAGTGCGCTAAAAAAAATCATTGATCTTTTGCCATCTCGGTATTTCAGAGCGTCTGAATGTGAATTATTGTAACGCGATTGTCTTTTGACAAAAACGCGTGTAGTCAATGGATAGAACGATGAAATCGACGATGAAACTACGACCGCGTAAAGTCCTGCCACCTAGTCATGCAGGCATTAAAATGATAATGTAAGTAATTTAATTTTTATTTTATTTATTTATATTTTTTCACGTGGTCATACAGGAATCAACTCCAATAAATTGTTTATTTCTTAAATGTGTATAAAAATATATATACAAGAGTGACAAGAGTAAAAAGTCTTGTAGTTGATAATAACTTGTAATTTCATACTTACATTTTTGTACGTAGAATATATTCATTTCAAAACTGCTGTATATGCTCATTTTTGTACATACGTACATTCTTATTGGCAGAAAAGTAAAATTTTATAAATTCCTTATAATTATTTCGCGTCAAACTGTCAAAATTCATTGACTGAGTTTTGAACGACTAAAACGAGTAGAACAATGTCGATAAGAGAACGACTGGTACGAGAAATTGCAAAGCGTGTGCGCGAAACGAACTCGTTAAATGCGTATTTTGACCGCTGCTTTTCGGACATTTGCAGTTTCCGGCGATACACACTGTGTTATTACGATTGAAGAAACGTTCCGATTCATCTTTATTCTTCGTGTAAATGATCTCAGTCGGCAGTCGATTGTTCACGCTTTTAATGTCGTTTGACGAGAGTCTCATAGAGCTCTTGCCATCTGCGCAAGTGCCATTTATCCAGATGCTCTCCGCTGCGACCACGTTTGCGCTCGAGTTGGAGAAAACGCAGTTCTCGATATAGACGATGTCACCTTCGATCAATATGTAACCGGGCTTTTCCAATTGGAACTTCGAATGAAGGATCTGCACGCTGGAGAAGTAAGCGAAATTCAACGGGCCAGTGACATTTTGAAATTCACTGTTCTTAATATACAGAGATTCGCCCTTTGCGGAGAAACTCAGCTGATCGATACGTTCGATGGTGACGTTGATCATTGAGAAATTGGTAATTGCCATGTCGGTGAATCGTTCTGCGAAATGATCGATTCGCGTGTCTTCGATTCGAATCGTTTCGATGCTGTCCAATCTGACGAACGTGTCGCGTGTAATTACAGGTATTCGCCCGATTCTCGATAGTCTGAGTTGTCTCAATTTTTTCGATGTTAGAAACAGTTCGAAGATCAAACGGTCGCTGATATTTTGCACGATTATCTCTGTTATTTGGCTCGCTTCTGTCAAGCTGGAGAAATGAAGATTCGCGATGTTGCAGGATGCGATCTGTATACTCGTCACGTTTTCATAGTTGTAGCCTTCCGGCAGGGAAAATTCCTGGAAACGAATGAAAATTTACAAGCAGATGCTTCGTGAATTATTTACTCGTGGCTTGTTCGAACTATGAACTACGTTTCATCAAACGCATTCAAATGTATCCGTAGTTAATCCTTCCACAAGAAGTTATTTCAACCATATTTCGTAATTACACAATGCCCCACGTCAGAATAGAAATGAATTCGCTGTTCTGAAGAACTCGATAGAAAGATGATATGTAAGAAATATAAATGCTAGAAACGCAGAATGGTATTATTTAAAAATTATTGATCACAAGAAAATAAAACTTGTCATCAGATCCAGTAATTTAAAAGAAGGATTTCTTGACAATTTAATGAAATTATCATTTCATTTTGATTATTGTACAGGGCACTGTATATAAACGAGATTAGCATTTACTGCCATCATTTGAAGCTGAAGATATTGTATTTTATACAATTGTTAATACATTGCAGATTTTTCCTTGTATAAAGTGTATCGTTTAACATTTTCAGCTTTAAAACAAACATAGTAACAAAAGTAGTACAAACACACGGACTGGTTCGTTTATTACACGTGTACTTGCGTACAAATAAAGAAGTTTCTAGATCGCTGTGTCTCAATCTTTTGATTGTCAGAGAGTAATGCTTCGTTGCCTCGAATATATTATCTATTAATCGAATAATGTATCATCTTATTTAGCTAGACATTACTCGAAATAACTATTCGTTGAAATTCATTATTTCAGATTTCTATCTTATTTTTCTAAAGAAAATGTTCTCAAATGCTGCTTTCTCTCGATCATTCACTCGCGCGTGTCAGGACTTTTACGAGTCCTCGGACCGTAGATTAAGAAACGCTGAAATATCTAGATGAAATATTTACCTCGCTTCCGGTGCAGTGGCAATCGACTGTTGTCGATTCGCGAATCTTGCATTGTTCGCTAATATTGCTCGCAGCTGTCGTTAACAATAGCGCGCAACTACACATCACTGATATCGATATCGTCTTCATCTCCTCCTCTTATTTCTTATTTTGGGATTTATTTTCGTAAATCTTGCTTTCAGACTAGATTTCACAACGTCTTTTCTCTCTCTCTCTCTCTCTCTCTCTATCTATCTATCTATCTGGCCCTCTTTCTCGAAATCGTTCACTGCGACGGTGTTTTCTGCTTTTTTCAATTTTCTCGAACTTCGCGAGTTTAGCAGCCAAGTGAAAACGACGATAATGAACTGAACTTAACGACGACAGTGAATTTATCCAGTGAATGATAGGAACGGAGGGAAAAAGTGGCACAATGGTCGTGACACAGTGGTCGAGCACCGAATAAACACTCGCGAAAGCTTGATCAAGCCAGGATTAAGATGGACACTTGTTTCATGCCGCTTTCATATTGAATGACATGCGGGTGATTCGGCTCGGCAACGTGTTCCATCCAGTAAACTTACTACTTAGGGTTACTACACGCACGAATCAATTTGATTCGAAATACATGCTGCTCGATCGTTCAATTTTGTTCACCGGAAAAGGATACAACGAAAGTGAATCTGTCGACGGTTTCCATGTAAAATTCATTCTTATTATTTCTATTAACGTAAATGAAAATAAGAGAACGTAAGTTGAATCGATAAATCGAAGAATTCTTATATCACATTATTTTTATAATTCTTGATATCTATTGTTTCTGCTTATTTAGACTTATTTCTCGTCGATCTTATGGAATCTTTGAATCGAGAAATATGTACAGCGACATCGTGTCACTGGAGAAATTATTGTTCCATATATTTGTTTGTAATAACGTGTGTTGAATTAATCGTTCGGTATGAAAAATTTCACTTGTTTCACGTAAGAAGTAGTAAATTAAATAATGGTAAAGTCGCAGAAAAAATTCAGATAACGAGCAAATTGCATGGAGTTTATATTAATTCTACATATATTTTCGATATATCACGCGCACACATATATTTTTAATATAAAATTAACTAACTCGTTTGTTATCCGAAAATTTTTGCAAAATTTTCAAATTTAGTTTCATCTATCCTTAAAACTATAAATTTATATCTCTTCTAAATAGAAACTGAAATAATTTGTATTTTGTTACTATGTTACTATTGTTAATATGTTGCAATATGTTAAAAAATAATTAATTCAATAACATCGTTAAACAAATATATAGAGAAATAATCTTTGTCGAATAAGAATCACTTATTGATCAACTAAAGTAAGTAAAGTAGCATACTATGGCTATTAGGCTACTATGACCACGAAATTGTACGTATTTGATAAAACTTACTATACATATGTATGGTAATGAACGAAATACATAAAGTAAATATATATATATATATATATATATATATATATATATATAT